AATTCTTCGGTATAGTCAATATCATTCAATAAATTATTTATTTATTAATTTATTGAAAATTCGTACAATAATTTATTGAAAATTCGTACAATTATAAATCTGATAAATCCCAGGACCATAGTAAACGTAATTCATCCATTCGCTTCTCAAATGTCACCGACGAATCATAGCACACAGCTAAATAACGAAATGATTTCGTCCAAAATTCACCATATATTTCATGAATAAGCTTCTTACAAAATACCTGTAAAAATTCTTCGGTATAATCAATATCATTCAATAAATTATTTCTTGCAATTTATACAAACAATATTTGTAGCACTATACCAAATTTCGACATCCTAATGTCCAAATGAAGAACTAAAGAGCCGATATCGATATTATCTCTATTAGTTTCTACTCTTTCTTTAACTTTTACAACTTTGAAGGAGAGCCTTAAATCAGTCTGAAAAATATTCAATCACAAATTTGCTTTCATCTCACTGGTACTGTATTCAAAAAAAGTGTTAATTAACAAAGTTATTCACAAGCTTAATAACGTACGTGCAAATTGCTGTTCGTACGATCACTACAAAATTTAGTTTCATTAATACATTTAGCATGGCAATCAAAAAAGTGACAATCAGAATCTTTATCACATCTTCGATTAGTTAGTAACATTTTCAAACGTGATTTAGTATAAAGCATATCTGCATCTAAAACTAAGAACCTGTAAATAAGTCTAATTATCAAAGATAATGATTAAAAAGGAAACGAGTATAAACTTTTATTGTTTTGTATAAACTGATAACTTGTGACTATTCAAATTTTCGAAATCAGTCATGAATAAAAGGTAACTCATGTCAATTTATAACGCTTAATTTTAGTTCTGTAAATTTAAAAAGTTGAATTTCGGATTACACCAAACAAAGCAAACAAGTGCTTTCATTAGATAGATAATATTTTCAAAAATTAAAACGCTTGAAAACAAGAAAATTACCTTTTTGGATAATCAGCAGAAAGCCCCAAGTTATCAAATTTCACATCACACCATTGTAATGGTTCATTTAAGAATTCATCAAGTAACTTCAAAGTACCCATTAGATGACGTAGTATTTTGGCTTTCAAATTCAAATAAAATTTCTTCATGTGGAACGGTACCAATTTTTCGACTTGATAAAAATGCCCACAAGAGCCTATAATCTGAAATATATATGCGTATCAATGTAATAATAATGCTTACGAAAAATATTTCACAAGTATGAAGTTTTGAAGCAAAAATTAACTGACCTTAGGTGTAACACCCAATGAGCGTAATAATCGAAATGTTATATATTCGTCTTGAGAAAGAAGGGCCCACAAACTTCGACGATCTGCATCTGATAAACGACTACGGTATTTACGAGCATATACAGGCCAAACAGTTTCAATTAAATGCTGTTTGTAGTGTTCAGGCCAATCAAGCCTCAAATTATAATTAACAAGACCAAGAACCTAAAAACCTTTAAAAAAATTAAATTAAGGTCCATAAAAATTAAACACGACATAAATTCTACTATTCAACGAAGTCAGCTACATATCATAAATGTATACCAGACAAGAAATCAATAAAACCATACAGCGTTAAAAAAGTCATTTTCTTTGATGCGTGGATCCAAAAAATCAAAATCGTCAATCCAAGGATAATTACTTTTAAGAATAACTTCTTGTCCACCGTCTTTGATAATGATTACAACCTTATTTCTTTCATAGATATTTTGAACATCCCAATTTCTCCAGTAGCATAAACGATTGCATAAATCTCCACTCACTTTTTGTTCGGTATACTTTTTGCACAAATCTATCAAAATTTCATGAGCACTGAAATTCACAAAATTATTCTTCCGACAAATACAAATGTTAGTATCTAAAAATAGAAACGGCTAAGAAATGTCGAATCAATACACTGTAACTCATAGTATGCAAAATCTGCAAGAGAAGAAAACATGCTCTCTGATTTTAACAGACCCTTCATTTTGAATTAGTCAAACAGAGGTTAATAGGCTAAATAGTACTACAATACCGATGCTAGCAGAAACGAAATTTAAATTTGAATATTCAAATTGAAAAGATTGAATGTTTTTGATGCTTATATAAGAAAATATGTGAACCGTGAATGATTATTCGATTTTGCAGTCAAGGTCAACTCTGAACTCATTATTTTACTGCCGTTATTCCAATCTGCAATTTACATAAAATAATCACTTAAAGTGATATCAGATTCTTCCAAAATATGGTAAACATATTTAAAAAAGGATTACTAACATGAAGAAATAAAAAACACAGCAAATAAAATACGACGAAAATCTTCAGAAATGTAGCAATAAAAAAGTGATGAACTGCAATAATAGCCAACAACGAATTTAGTCATTATTAAACACGAAATCAACAAAACTACTTTTAATAATATGAAGAACTCACTTGAAAATACAAAAAAAAATACCATCAGTGAAAATAACAGTGTCACAATTCGTACCAATTTAGAACCAGAAAATGATTGGATAGATGGAGAATTCCAATGGAAACAGCTGAAACATGAACGAACCCTCAACGGAAGCATTATCTAACTCAAATTATTCTTACATTTGAATAAATCTCTGGAAAGAGTGAATCAAAAAATGCGATCTATTCAATTATTATGTAAAAGGGCTCCAGATGTATTGTGAGAGAATGACCATTATCGCAAGAAATGAATGTTTGCTTTGAACTAAATCAATTCAATTGAGCATACAGTGTATAAAATGGTATAAGAGCTAGTTCTTACACGCAAGGACATACCATTTCATACCTTAAAATCCTTGAAAAGTACCTGTAATGAATAATGCGAATAAAAAAGTGAAAATAGCTTTGATAAGACACAATGCTTTTTCTTTTTTTATGCTTTCAACTTTAGCATTGTTCTTCTTTCTGTGAAACTTCGGAACAAAATATATAATTTACATGAAACATCATTAGAAATACTCAATAAGTGCAGAGTTTATTTCGAAGTTTCTGCTAAGTACAATTAAAATAAAATGTGGATGTTAGTTTTCGTTTTCGCTTTATTCATTCTGGAGCTGAATCGCATTCCGGCACTCTGGCAGTACTTGTCCCGCACTCAGATTTGTTGTACTCATCGTTCTCGCTTCATCCCCGTGGAATCCATACCAATTGTCGAAGGAGATGCTTTCGAGCGTCTTCTTGAGAACTATCGTTTGAATGTATGTCTTGACGTGATTAGATAAACTGATCTCCTACCCATTGCGTTTGTGGAAGTTCGTCACTATTCCATTCCAAGTCATCACATATGGAATTATTTTGGTCATACATTTCATCTCTTACGCAAGCTTATTAGCAAGTAGGCCATATTTTCGCTTTTTCTCAGTATCAACTGCTGTCAACCTGTTTAGACTAATGATGCCAACCTCTATCAGGATTACTTCACATCGCTTCTTATCGTGTATCATGATATTCGGCCGATTCGTTTCTATTCTGATTGCAGTTCTCACTCCGCGTATCGATTCTGATCTTAACGTTCCCATTAATCAACCTCGGAGCCAACCGCTCAGCACCTCAGCAAGGCCGCTCAGCCAGTATAATTAATACCGTTAATTAATTGTATGCGGAAAGAACCTACTTAATAACTAATATGCAAAATTGAACGATTGTAAAAAAGTACGAAATAATCAAATTAGCTCAAATTCTTATTTTATACTAAAACCTTGACAAATGTCAGTTTTCTGACTTGATAAGCAAATTATATTTGTTAATAATGATCGAATTAAACTACAGCTTCTTTAAATATATCAGCATCAATTTTTGGGATGAGATGACAGTACTACAACGCTGATGCTTGCAGAAAAGAAAATTAAGTAAACTTAACCAAAAATATAAGTTAAAAAAATTGGCGAAAGATGTCAATACTTTTAAAATAACGTGGCTTATCAAAGTGCAAGTTGAAGGATATGAAGAGGCATTATTAATCTAATGAAAATAACAGTTACCTAATTTTCAATCCTGTTTCTTTTAACACCAGATAAAATTCTTTACAAGACTTGAAATAGTAGATAAGATAATCAAAAAGTTAACTTGAAAAACTTATAATATTATAATAGCAATAAGAGCACTTAATTAGAATTATTCAAGCGGATGATTTTTCCAAAATTTTGTATTTAAAAACTGTACAATTAACCTTATTTGTGAACAATCCCATGAATCCGATGTTTCTTCCTCGTTATTTTTATCCATAAATTCATGAAAAATATTTCGTGAATCCTCTGGATACTTCATTATGACTTTCAACTTCGTTTTTTGTTCTCTTCTCACATCAAGCTAATAAGTCCAGATATGTACTTCAAATAGATTCATATTTCCGCAAGTTCTGTTCAAACTGAAATACACATAAATAGCTGATTATCTACTGCTTAAAAAATCAGAAACATAAAATACACAAAACGTTTATCTTTATATTCATAATATTTCTCATGTGTGAACAAGTGATTATTATGTCTGAATTAACACCATCATATATAGAGATGCGTCTATGGGAAGACCCATTTACTTATATCTCAGTTCACTTAAGTGACTTGAAAAACATAATTTGTGTTAGAATCTGTGTATACACATGAAACTGTGTACACGTATGGATTATCAAGAAAATAATTTTAATAATACCGATAAAACTTTAAATTGGTAAATGACATTTAAATTGGCAATTTAAAAAGAACAAAAAAAAACCTAATTTGTATGCACACATGAACCGTGTTGAGATTATTCAGATACTGAATTTGAGATTTGCAAGTTTTCAAGTTTAAAATGTTTGGAGTTTATGTACATTTATTCTTCTAGTACTGTTAATTTCAAGTATCTGAACATAGCTTATATGTGCGAAGAAATAAAATATGTTCAGACTCTTGAATCAAACTAAAGTTTAACATGCAAGTGCGCTAGGATCTGATTCGAAGAAGAGTGAATGCCATACACAAATTTATGATTTCATTAGCATCCGGAAATCGCAAATCAAGCATGAACCTTGCATTCCAATAATATGTCTTCGTTTACTATCGTAATGTTATTGTCGTTTTTCATTTCAAACATTTGGCTAATAAGTTTATAAAGTTTGAAATTAATTTGCCATAATTAATCTTAGCATATTTAGTTGTGTTCTACTCTTTTTTCCATCTCACAAAACATTTTCACTAACATATTTCTATGTATTTATTTATACTTTTCAGTTTGTTGCATAATATTTTGCACTCTAATGAGAGCATATTTTTAAATTTAATTAATCACATCCATCTAATTATTTTTACTGTAATAGTCTGTTTTTCAGTGTTTTTAGTGAAGCTCAAATTTTTTAAATGGCTAAAGAATTAGAAGAAAGTCAAAGTGAGTTAAGCGAACTGATGAGACGTCGCACAGAACTTGCTGTAGGTTGTATTAATGCAACTGATTTTTACTTTTTTAAATATTGTGTTTTAACTTTTTTCATGTGATTTAACTGATTTATTTGAAAGTTATTGCATTCTTACATTTTTTTTAAAATACTTCCTTTTTTGTAAATTTTAGGAAACTCTCACTGCACTCGAGCAGCAAATTTACAATTTTGAAGGTTCGTACTTGGAAGAAACTGCAGATTATGGAAATGTTGTGAAAGGTTAGGAAACAAAATATACTTCAAATAAAACTTTATTGTCTTTTATGTTTATAACTTTACAAAAAAATAAGTTCTGTCTTGAAGAAATAACTTTGCTACAGAATAAATTTAATGCAAAAGCAATTCAAGTTAAAAATTTTTAAGGTGGCAGATGTGAAAGTATATTTAGTTTATACTTCAACAACTATATTCGATCCATTACTTATTACATACCACTTGTATGAGCTTCAGTTGAGAGATATTTCAGAAATAAGCGAAACATTTACTTCGTCTAATTTAGGTTGGGATCGACTAACGTTAGTTGCTCCACCGTCAAAGAGTAACTTGAAATTGGATAAGAAAGGTGCAAGAAAAGGTATGCGGGAATCAGAACGACTTTTTTCGAATTCTTCAGTTACTTCACCCGCATCGTTAAGTCGTAGTAACATTCAGCAACCATCTCATGAAGATAGCCCATCTGTTATCGCAAAAGCTTCACCAAGTGGAGATCTATCACCTAAAAAAAGTGGTAGTAAGAAAAGTCGTCGTAATGACTGAAAATATTTCTTGAAATGAAGGTTAATCTCATAAGGAATTGTTCACCATTTTTTGGTGTATATATATATATTTTTTATGATAAGCATCATATATATATATATGATGTTTCAAAAAAGTATCGTTTCATCTATTTATCATAAAATTTCTCTAATTTTAGTCTTATTGTGTGTGCATTATTCTCTTTCAGAAAAATTGTTCAAAATGTTTGTGCAGGTATAAATAATATGTGTCATATTTATATGCATTGCAGTGGATGACGAAACACTGCAAAAATTAAACATGTGCAGTGTATTCAGAATTATTGGCAGTTATTGTTACAACATAAGTTTAGAAGTTTTTATCATTTTTTTGACGTGGGATCACTCACGAGAATTGTACAGATTACGACTGGAAATATAAAAAGCATTTTAGAATTGCGAACAGTAGAGCGTAACGGACATTTTATCATTTAAAAATATTCCATTTATTTTGTACAATATTTGGTGCTCATATTTTAGATATCTTCACTTTGATTTATCTCAGTGTGAATTTTGTTGGCTAATGCAAATTTTTTGTCGCGTGCAGTATTTTGGAAAAGTTTTCTGAAATATTCTACATTGAGTAAAATGGGTGTATTTGTTCATCATTTATTGCTCACTAAAGAAAACAGCTCAGTAATGTTTGTGTATCGCATAGTCTGTAAATTTCAGCGTGTTACGTAACTTGTAAACCTTAACTGGATTACAAATTAGTTGATAAATTCCAATAAGATGTTGTAGTATTGGAATTTTCATAAGAGAAAAAGTAGTAAGTATACATATTGGTTTTCAACAGCAAATGCGTTTGTTATATGAAGGTGAGAGTATTTTCAGATTTTATTTAGCGGATCATTGGTATAGTTTTATGAATTCGTTATGGATTGTGCAACTGCTTATGAAGATCAATCGACAAGAGAAGCCATGATTAGCGAATTTTCATATGTCCATAGCTGTGATTTAAACTATAATGTACAATTAAGAATCGGTTCTTTGGAAGGGAATGTATCACTTATAAAGAAATCTCATATTGTAACTGGCGGCAATTTCTTCATAACTGTTTCTGTTAGTTATATTTTTTGAATTGATATATTAAATTTTAAATGTGCAAATAAGTTATGCAATCAGTTGACGAATGATAGATCTTGTGCAAACTGCAGTTATCCAAGTAGTTCTTGTTCATATTAATCTCTGTTAGGTATACTGTAATAATCGGCAAGTGGGTGTACCTGTATCAACATCATATAAACCACCACCAAGTCATGTTCGTACCACGCTTCATTCTTGGGATGAATGGATTTCTCTACCTATCAAAATCAAGTATGCATATTAAACATTGTGAGGGAATTTAATATTTAAATATCATCAACATAATATTTCTTTCTTTTGCTGTTTAAACTTTTGAAATTTTTAGTGAGCTTAGTCTTGATACCTTTATCCATACATGTCTTTGGGACGTATCTGAAACTCTTGAACCTCGATTCGTTGCTCATTCGTCCATTTCTTTATTCAGCAAGCGTGGCGTATTTCGATCTGGTACTATTCCATTGAAAATGGAAATGGCTACAAAGCCTGATGATTACTTAAGACCACTTCCCCCATCTGTGGTATTATTTTGCATTCTATTCGAATTTTATGTCCTTTATATGCTTATTCTTTTCAGGAAGTCAGATGAAAATTAATAGTCACAAATATTTGCTAATTTTGCTCATCAGAACTTATATATAATAATACCATTTTTATTTTACTTAAATGTCATATCAGATCTGGGATGGAATTAATCAGTTTCAGAAATGTTGTATTCAAATTTTTAGGAGTGGTTATTTTTTTGTCTTGATATAATTCGTCATGTTCATCATTCCTCTAAATCATTTTTTAAATGTGCTTAGTAACTGTTAAGCATTAATCGATAAAACTTCCCATTATTTGTCAACTGTTACATGTCATTTATTTTAGTTCACTAAACAAACAGGTGCCGATCGTCTGCAAAAACTCACAAAAGAGTACGGTGAAAGATTTATCGAGCATGTGGACTGGCTTGATCGACTTACATTTCCACGCATCGAACAGATTAAGAAAGAAGCCAGTGAACTTCATTATTTAGTATTAAAAGTTTTTCAGCTGACTAGTTTCGAATGCTTTTAAAAAAGTCATTAGTAAGTGACATTTTTAAGTACTCAGTTTTAACTGTAGTCAAAATATTTAAGATAACAAAAAGTATCACTTTACTATATAAATTGCATGAGATTAGTATGTACAAAAATATTAGTAAACTGATTATTCTTATCATTTATACTGCGCTATTATTCGTAAACAACTTGTATGTTGTAGTGTAACACTGGATTAAATGAAAAAGCTTTATGGCTTCCACAACCGTTATTAGATGATAAACTTCGATATTTTTAGTGCGAAGTGGAGCAGCGCTGTCTTTATTTAATTGTTGAAATGATGCAAGTCGTGTGTGGTGACAGAATATATTCCGTGGTTTATTATGAGAATGAAGAAGAATCAAGAACACGTAACGTTCATGCTTCGTTCGATCCAGAAATCGGTTTAGAAAATCTGTGTGAAATAAAACATCATATAATGACTCGTACTGCACGTGCTGGTGTAATTGAACGTGAACTGAAGCCAAATGCTTCTGCTCGTGATTTCTTAGAAAAAATTATACAAGTATGTATTCTATTCATTATCATTTCTATTCATTATCAACTGATAAGGAGAGTTGTCACTCTCGAGTGCTTCGCTCTATTTCCATATTTTTTTTTACGGAAGAAATGTCAGATTACGCTATGATATCAAAGGATCAGATTTTTTGTAATGTTTTATATTGTAGAGTTATATGTTACTAAAGTGTTAGTTCTTTATTTTATGCTTGAAATTTTGTCTGCCCGATAATACTTCAAGTATTTTTTGCTGTTTGCTATTATTTTTGATGCTCATCACATGCACTCAGT